AAAATAGGGTTGTTGCAGATGTAACTAGTTAAGATGAGTAACGTGGGCCCTTACTCCAGTATTACTGGTGTCTTTCTAAGAAAAGGACAGGGTATATAGATATTGAGACATACAGGATAGACCAGATGAAGAGAGAGAGACAGACTTCGGAGTGTGTCAAAGACTGCCATCAACCACCACAAGCTATAAAAGGGAAAGAAGGATCCTTTGCTTTTGTCTTCATAGGGAGCATGGGTCTAATGATACATTAATTTCAAACTTCTCACATCTAGGGTTATGATAAAATAAGCTGCTGTTGCTTTAAGCCACCCAGTTTGTGGCAATTTGTTATGTCATCCTTTGCAAACTAGTACAGATGACTTCTAAGGTAAGGGAAGCCCATAATTATGGTTTCTTATCAGGTATTAGTTCCTCATATATAGAAGCAGTCAACCACTCATCGGTCAAAATTGGCTTTTCATATTTTTGAGATTTACTGGGGAACAGAGCTAGAAAGTAAATAAAAGATCAAGTCAACATTCAGAAAAGGAAAGAACTTTGATAATTCTTTACCCACAAACAGAAAAGGAAGTATTTGGTAATTTAAACAGACTGCTCTCATCCTCTTTTGCATTTAGAGGAGTTAAAACCTCACTACTACGATGGTTTTTGGTAATTTTTTTTTCTGTGATAATGTTGTATACTAATCCCCAAATTCAGTAGCTCTCAGGAATAATTATGTCTTTTACTCATGCACAGTTTGTAGATTGGCTGGGATATGGTGCAATAGGATGGCTGTGGCTCTGGCTGAAGATTAGCTTCAAGTGTGCTGCACATGTCTTCTCAGAATTCAGAGATATGTGGCCAACCAGAGCATGATCTGCTCATGGCTGATGGATGTATATAATGCAAGAAACCAAGCCAAACCAAACAAATCCATTTAAAGCCTTGACTTGTGAATGGATCAAGAAGATGTGGTTTATCTATACAATGGAATACTACATGGCAATGAGAAACACTGAAATCTGGCCATGTGTAGCAACATGGATGGACTTTGAGGGTGTTATGCTGAGCGAAATAAGTCAGGCAGAAAAGGACAAATATCATATGTTTGCACATATAGGAGGATTAGGAGGAACTTATTGGAGGACCATGGGGGAGAAGAAGGGGGGAAATGGTGGGGGAAGGGAGAGAGGCAAACCATGAGAGATTCTTGAATGCGGAGAACAAACTGAGGACTGATGGATGTGGGGGGGGGGAGGGTGGAGATGGGCATGGAGGAGGGCACGTGTGGGGATGAGCACTGGGTGTTATATGGAAACCAACTTGACAATAAACTATTGTAAAAAAAATAAATAAAATAAAGCCTTGACTTGTATCATACCTACTAACATTCAACTAATCAAGCCCTACATCAGTGGGATGAGAAAACATACTTGGCCTGTTCTAGAGACAAGTACTGCTACATCACATGGCAAAGGACATGGATATGTACTTATTACAGGGAAGGAGTGAAGAATTGAGAATAATATACTGGTCTTCCATGATAACTCTCTTTTTGTTGTGATAAGATGAATGCTACCTCCTCTTTCCTCTGACTTCGTCTCAAACAAACTCCACCAAGAATAACTAGAAGAAAGAGAATTCTTTATCTAAGAATATAAGAAGAATTTGATGGTTTTGGTGGTTTGGTGAGGGATGGAAGAAGGAATTTTGACGGGGGGTGAGAAAAGGCTATGACAAAGATAATTGAAGACAGAGAAAGGGAAAGAATAGAATATTCTTTGGTGGAAGTGATGTGGCATTGATATCCAAGTCTAGGAGAACAGAGGCAATGTAGCTTCTTCTGTCTGGTTCTGTCTCTTGGGATATTCATTTTTAAGCCATCACATAATATATCTACTCTGAAGCCACCATGATGAAAGAGCATCTAGAAGAACTGTATAGATACAGAGATACTGGAGGAGCCCCCAGCTCTCTGAATCTTTGCAGCTCAGGTACCAGTTATGTAAGTGATGAGACCTTTGACTCAAGCCCTAGTTATTGTCTAGCTGCAACTGATGAAAGATTCTGAGTGGGAACCACATAGCTGAACAGTATTCCCTGGAATAAACCTCATTTTCCTGTGGTATAGAATTCTTTGTATATATTGCTGAATTATTGCTAATTTTGTGTTAAAGGTTTTGCATCTATATTTATGAGGAAATTCAACCTGCAGTTTTCTTTGTATACTGTCTTTGGTTTTAGTATCAGGGCATACTATGGACTAAAATGTGTCCCCCCAAAATTTAGATGTTGAGGGTCTAATCCCCGATGTAACTATATTGGATATAGGAAATTTAAGGAGGTGATTAAAGTTAGGTGAGATCATAAGAGTAGAGTCTTAATTTGCTAGAGCCGATGCTCTTAAAAGAGAGAGAGAGATAGAGACACCAGAGTTATCTCTATTGTGTGAGGACATTGTGAGAAGGTAGTTGTCTGAAAGCCAGGAAGAGAGCTCTCACCAGAACTTGACCAAGGTCAACGTGATCATTATGTTTTATAGGCAATTGAAAGTAATGTGATTTCTTTGTTGTTGAGTGGGTATTCTATAATTGTTAGTTAGAGCCTGATGGTTGATGCTGAGTTCTTCTACATCCTTACTGTATTTTTTTTGTCTACTTGTTCTATCAATTGTTGAGAGAAGAATGGTGAAGTATCCAAATGTAATTGTTTATTGTCTTTTTTGTCTTTCAGTTCTATCAGTTTTTAGTTTATGTATTTTGCAGCTCTCTTGTTTGATGCACACGTTTAAGATTGTTGTGTCTTCTTGATGGATTGACATTCTCATCATTGTGTAAGGTCCCTCTTTGACTTTGGTAATTTTCTTTGCTCTGAGGTCTACTCTGGTATTAATATAGCCACTTCTGCCTTCATTTGGTAAATATTTGCATGAAAATCTTCCCATCTTTTTACTTTCAAACTGCCTATAGTGCTGTATTCAAAGTGTTCCTAGACATCATATAATTGGGTTAGGTTTTTAAATATATTTTTGTCAATATTTAAATTGGTGTTTTCATATTTAATGTAATTTTTGATGTCTTAGAGTTTAAGTCCACTATTTTACATTCTGTTTTATGTTTGTTTTTCATTTCCAAGTTTTCTTTTTCTGACTTCATGTGGGTTACTTGAACACTTTTTAAATAATTCAATTTTGATTTATCTATAATGCTTTGGAATATATCTTTTTGTATAACATTTTTAGTGGTTGCTTTAGATATCATTTCCTATATTTTTAGAGAACTTCCTTTGGTCATTCTTTTAGGATAGATATGCTGGTAACAAATTCTTTTAGTTTTCCTTCATTTGAGAATGTCTTTATTTCCGCTTCATTCCTAAAGGATATTTTCTCTGGATGTAGGATTCTGTGTATTGGCAATACTTCTCTTTCAGCACTTGAAACATATTGTGCTACTTTCTTCTGGCCTCTGGTTTCTAATGAGAAATTTACTGTCATTTGAATTGTTCTTTCCCATAGGTAATGTGTTGTTTCTCTCTTGCTGCTTTCAAATTTTTCCTTTTCTTCAAACCAGAAGTTTGAATGACATGTCTTGATGTGGATTTCTTTTGGTTTATTTTATTTAGAATTTATTCAGCTTCTTGAATTTGTAAGTTACATTGTTTGACAAACTTAAGAAGTTTTCAGCCTTTGTTTCTTACAAGTCCTTTTCCAGTCCCACTCTGTTTCTCTTCTTTTTTAGACTCCAAGGACACAAATGTTAGATCTTTTGTTATAGGTCCACAGGTCCATGAGGCTATATCAATTTTTTTTGCAATTATTTTCTTTTTGTTGTTCAGACTAGTAATTTCTATTATTCTATCTTGAGTTCATTGATTTGTTCCTTTATCCTCTGCATGCTACTGTTCAGTACATCTGAATATTTAAAAATTTTTAATTATGATATTTTTCAGGTCCAAAATTTTCATTTGGTTCTAATTTATGCCTGCTATTTCTTGACTGAGAATTTCTATTTTTAAATTTGTTTCAAGCATGCTCATTGAAGCATTTTTGTGATGGCTGCTTCAAAATCTGTCAAGTAATTCTAATATCTTGATGTTGATGGACATTGATTGTCTTCCTTTATTCAAGTTGAGCTCTTCCTTGTTCTTGGTATGACAAATTATTATCAACTGAAACCTGGGCATTTAGCTCTTATTTAAACTTTGGGTTTTATCTGGTGTTCTTTGACACTATTCTGGCAGAGTAAGAGAGAGCTTCATTACCACAGGTGGAGCTCCAAATTTCCCACTTGAGCTTTCAACTTTACCTTAGTAACATGATGCAGTTGGGACTTTATAAACTCTGGGAGGATTATATGTACCCTATCTTTGAAGATTATCGTGAAGGACAAAGGACATTTGGGAGTCCTGTTATTATATTTGCATATGTAATGAAACGGTAGCTCTGATTTTTGTATTATAATTTCCTTTTTTTTTTTTTTTTAACAATGCCCAATTAGTAGCCACAGGGATCCTAGAGGGACATTGACCTCTAAATAGCTTTGTTCTGTCTTCTAATGAGGTGTAGCATGTCTGGGGCCCACCCACTGGCCCTGGTGGATCCTAATTGGTGTTAAAAGAGTCCAATGCTAAAAATATAATGGTGGAAATTAAATTCACTTTTATCTCAGCTTCCAGTGACATATGAATTCTTCTCAACCTAGAGAGGTCAGGAAGTGGAAATGCAATTTATCTGCCCTGGAATTCATTTAAGAAGAATACTGTGTACAAGAGGCCAGTCTGAGTGAGGAGGCTAATATCTTCTACCATGCCCTGGAGCATTTGCCCAACAAGCAGGGTCTCCTGCTGGTGGTGGCTGATACAGAAGCAGAATGTGAGTTTGGGGAACCTGGAGCCTATAAGGAAGGTATGAAAGCTTTTTGGAATTCCAAATTAACTCATTCCCAGATTCCAGTAGAACACTGGGGACTGTATGTATGTGCTCTCCTTTCTTTCCCAGGATTTCATCAGGCAGGATTGCCATGGAGCTTTCACTTTGGTTTACCCCAGTTTTGGTAAGTTCTGATTTTGTATGAAAAAACATGCTTAGTAGATGTGATGAACATTTTGGACTTTTCTATAGGACCAATTAGGGTCATTTCAGATACAAATGTTTCTCTTTATCTGTCTCTCTCTGTCTCTCTCTCTCTCTCTCTGTCTCTCTCTCTCTGTCTCTCTCTCTCTCTCTCTCTCTCTCTCTCACACACACACACACACACACACACACACACACACACACACACACACATTTCTAAGTGCCTAAACCAGCATTTTGGTTTGCTGGAAGAGTGAAAGAGAGGGAGACCAAGTTCTGCTTACTGTGAGTTACATCTGGGGTAAGTATATGGCCTTAGTGTGATTGAATTATTTTGCCATTAATTTATTGTACATCGAAGCAGAATCTATTCCCCTTCAAGCTGATTTACTATGCTTAAAATAATGTGGTTTGGCTAAATCAGAACTAGTTCAGAAATCTGAGATGAACATTAGTAGACCAGAGTGACAAAGCCTCACATAGAGAAGTTTATAGATTTAAAGGGTAATGGAATATTTTATTTAGGTGGATAATAGAAGAGACAATGAGTCAGAAAATAATTGTTAGCATCAAGGCATGCCATTTCTCTTTCTATCCTCAGGCTAGTATCACTAAAAGTATGGACTAAAAGGGTCAGACGATAGAGATTCTCCCTTAGACTGACCACTTAGCACAGGAGAAAGGAAAAATTCTCCTTTCTTACTGACTGTAGGAAAACGGCCTGGACTTAATCTCCCACAGTATAGTTAAGAGTCCATCTGCTACTTCTAGTACTCTCACTTTAGAGGGCTGCATCAGGGACCATAGAGAGTCTTCCTATAAGTAATGTTATGACTTCAAATATGGACAAAAAAATCTAAGGACATCATGGGAGAATAATTTTTGTGGGATGACCTACTCATGACTATAAGTTTTTTTCCCCCTAAGGCTACAGTTTTTCTTTTGCGATATTCACCCTTTGATGATATTGATGATATGAGTGGTATCTTACTGATAATATGTTGCATGGTCAGATATAAAAGTAAAAGACGTATGAAAGAAAAGTATGAAAAGAAAAAAATGGCTAACACTGTTAAAATTACATTATCCTTTATGAAAAGTTGTAGCCATGTGCACGGTTGCTTTTTATCATTTAACATAAACATATTCCAGATAAAACAATTTATTTTTACTTAACAAAGTATAAAAACTAGACATAAAATATAATGTTTAAAATAATTTAAAATCCAGTCACCATGCCTACACTATTTTATTTTTTATTAGTTTTTTCCATTTCTTAAATTTTAAAACAGTTATAATTGACACACAATGTTACATTAATTTCAGGTATACAATATAGGGATTCAACAACTCTATATGTTATGCTATGTTTACCACAAGTGTAACTACCATCTGTCACCATACAACACTATCACAATACCATTAACTATATTCCCTATGCTGTACCTTTCATCCCTGTGACTTACTCATTCCATACCTGGAAGCCTGTATCTCCTACTCCCCTTCATCCATGTGACTGCACTGTTTTATATGTTTAACACAATTAAGTTCTTCTTTCTTCAGTCATGATCTTCTACAAAATAGCTCAGAGAGTTGAAGAAATAGAAAAGCCAGAGATAGGGCATACACGAAACTGGACAGAAGTTCAGGAATTCACCTTGGAGGGGTTTCCTGCTATCCAGAACCTTGGGAAGGTTCTTTTCCTGGTACACCTGCTGGCATACTTGGCGTCCATCATGGGAAACATACTCATAATCACCATTACCTGGGCTGACCATCGCCTTCAGACACCCATGTACTTCTTCCTCAGCAGTTTCTCCTTTTTTGAATGCTGTTTTATAACCACTGTTATTCCTAAATTGCTGGCCATCTTTCTGTCAGGGAGGCAATCAATTTCTTTTGCTGCTTGCTTCACACAAGCGTTTGTCTTTCTTTTCCTGGGAACAACTGTTTTCTTTCTTATGGCTGTATTATCCTTAGATAGGTACTTGGCCATTTGCAAACCTCTGTATTACCCAACCATCATGAACCCAAGGATGTGTTTCCTTCTGGTCGCTGCCTGCTTGTCTTTGGGATTTGTCCTCATGGTAGTTCCAATTATAATGCTTTCCCAGGCATCCTTCTGTGGCTCCCATGTCATTCCTCACTTCTTTTGTGATTTTGGGCCACTGATTCATCTCTCTTGTTCTGACACCAGATCTACTGAAATGTTGGCCTTTGTCCTTGCTTTGTTTATCCTTTTGACTTCCCTTCTCATAACCATCATTGCATACAGCAACATAGTAGTCACAATTGTGCGACTTCCATCAGCCAAGGAGCGACAGAAAGCTTTCTCCACCTGCTCCTCTCACCTCATTGTCCTCTGTCTGATGTATGGAAGCTGTGTCTTTATATATGTGAAACCAAAGCAAACAAATAGGCTGAACTCCAACAGGGAGGCTGCCCTTGTGAACACAGTGGTGACCCCGCTTTTGAACCCTGTCATCTACACTCTGCGGAACAAGCAGGTCCACCAAGCTCTGAGGGATGCTCTGTCCAGGGTGAGAGTGCAGAAATAGAACCACAGACTATCAGAGGGAGAATGCTTCTTCTCCATCTAATACAATCTGCCCCCCACCCCATTTCTGGAGTCTCCTCTATAATTTTGCAAGTGTGGTTTTTAAAGGTTCTGCTTGTTTATTCTTAGAATAGGGGCCAATTTATCTTATAATCCAATGTACTCCACTACCTGAAAGCTCTAACATTCTGTTTTATACTGAAATGAAATTATCTTCCTGGATCTTCTGTTCACTATTTTTAACTCAACAGAATTCAAAAGATTTTAATGAGGAGCCTCATATCCACGATTCTGTTTCATGCACGTGGAATCTCAAAGTTGAAAAGGTGAGGTTTCACGTAGCTACTTGTAGTAAGTGCATGGGGATGGAAAATGAAATTGATAAGAATTAAGAACATTGAGGGGCGCCTGGGTGGCTTAGTCGGTTAAGCGTCCGACTTTCGCTTAGGTCATGATCTCACGGTTCGTGGGTTTGAGCCCCGCGTCGGGCTCTGTGCTGACTGCCAGCTCAGAGCCTGGAGCCTGTTTCAGTCTGTGACTCCCTCTCTCTCTGACCCTCCCCTGCTCACGCTGTCTCTCTCTCTCTCTCCTAGAAATAAATAAAAAATATAAAAATAAATAAATAAATAAATAAATCTTTACAATTCTAATTTACACTATAATGAAGACATAAATGTCTGTAATTGAAATTGAAAGTTTCTAGGGGTTATACTTATCTGCTAGGTTGATTTCAGTACTAAAGACCTGATGATGAAGTACCAGAGGGAGAGAAGCATTATTATTTCTGGAACAAGGGATTGAGTGGTTAAGATTGTTTCCCTACTACAGAAAATTTAAAGGATTTGGGGGGAATCTAATTAAAGGTGGAAAGGAGTCTAATTGTGACTGTAGAGTCTTTCCAAATAAATCTATAAACAAGTATCTTTATTTGTGAAATGAGAGCTTTGATGTGATAATCTCTGGGTGTCCATTATAGTACTAGTGTGAAGTGACACTATTGCTACCAAACATGACATGAAGACACACTGTAATAGAAATACAATTTGAGGCTAGAAGAGAGAAAATGATGAGATGTTTTTGTTTGTTTGTTTTAATAGGTATATATTATATATAATATATATATTATATATATAATATATTTTAAAAAGTATATATATATTAAACATATATATATATACTTTTTTTTTTTTTTAGTGTAGTTCACACATGCCATCTTATATGTGTTTGTTGACCATGTGTGTGTCCTCTTTGGGAAAATGTCTATTCAGGTCCTCTGCCCATTTTAAAATCAGATTATTTGGATTTTTTTGGGTGTTGTTTAGGTTTTAAAATAAATTTTGGATATTAATTGCTCATTGGATATGTCATTTGCAAATATCTTCTTGTATTCTGTAAGTTACCTTTTTTGTTTTGTTGATGTTTCCTATGCTGTGCAAATGATGGGATATTTTAATGGAAGAGTTACAACTGTCATTTAGTTATTCAAGATTTTGGTAGGAAAGGATGTATTTGGACAGAAGACACTGTAAGAAAAATCCTGGAGCTGGTGGTTGCTTGGTATAGTTGGCTAATGGCCACTATCATGCTTTGCTCTGACCACATTATTCTGTGATTTCAGGGATAATAATTGACTGTGTTAAGATTTCTGGCACACAATTATGTATGAATTTGAAGAATAGACTACTTAACAGAACACATTTTTGTTCACCCTATGCACATATAAAAATTTCCAAGTATTTTTTTGTGTAGGCTTATCTCTTTTTATGACATTTGGGATATTCCCTTTGCTCAAAGGATCACGTTGTCAATTATTTTTCCCAGAATGGCCAATGAACAGTATAGTTATTGGCAGAAGGGTCTCCCCATAGGAGTGCAATGTTAGTGGAGGCTGGTGATGGCAATTGGGCTGTGGCATGCAGGTGCACATCTTGGGGGGCTAACTGAAGGTGAGCCTAGTGGTGCAAGCTAGTGACAGGAGTCAAGGCCAAATCTGGGGCCACATGCAGCTAATTCAAACGTATAAGGAACTCATACAAATCAATGATTAAAATAATACAACCCAAATAAAATAATGGGCAAAGGACCTGAATAAACATTTTTTCCAAAGAAGACATACAAATGGCCAATAGGTATATGAAAAGATGTTCTTCAACACCATTAATCATCAGAGAAATACAGATCAGAACCACAATTATCTCAGATATTATCTCACACCTCAGCTAGGTTAGAATGGCTATTATAGAAAAATAAAAGGAAAAGAAGTATCGGTGAGAATGTGGAGAAAAGGGAACCTTTGTACAATGTTGATGAGAATCTGAACTGGTGCAATTACTATGGAAAATAATATGGAGGCTCCTCAAATAATTAAAAATAGGAAGCAACCCAAGTGTCCATCCATAGATGAGTGGATAAAGAAGCTGTGACGCGTGCGCGCGCGCGCACACACACACACACACACACACACTGGAATAATACACAGCCACAAAAAATGAAACATGGCCATTCACAACAACATGGATGATTTAGGGGGTACTGTGCTAAGCGAAATGAGTCATTCAGAGAAAGACAGATACCATATAATTAACTTACATGTGGAATTTAAGAAATAAGTGAACTAAAAAAGAGAGACAAACAAACAAAAAAAACCCAGACTCTTAAATATAGAGAACAGTCTGGTGATTGCTGGACAGGAGGTTGTGGGGGAGGGGATGCATGAAATAGATGAAGGGAATTAAGAGTACACTTTCATGATGAGCACTGAGTTATGTATAAAATTTTTGAATCACTGTACTGTACACCTGAAACTAATATAGCACTGCATAATAATTAAACTTGAATAAAAATGGTTGAAAATTTAAATATATATAAGAAAACTACTGTATAATTCAGTGATCCTACTTCTGGATATGTATCCAAAGGAGTTGAAGTGAAGATATTGAGGAAATGTCTGCACTCCTATGTTCACTGCAGCGTTATTTATTATAGCTAAGATATAGAAACAATATAAGTGTCCATTGATGGATGAATGGATAAAGATAGTGTCGTATATACATAATGGATTATTGCTGAGCCTTAAAAAAGGAAATCCTGAAATATGTGACAACATAGATGAACCTGGAGGACATCGTACTACAGAGAATAAGTCAGATGCAGAAACACAAATACTGTATGATCTCATTTTTATGAGGAATCCAAAATATTCAAACTTATAGGACTAGAGAGTAGAATAGTGGCTACTAGGGGGCAGGGGGAGACAGAAAGGGGAGGGTGTCAAAGCATACCAAATTTCAGTACTGCTAGGCAAATAAGTGCTAGAGATCTACTGTACAACATAGGGTCTCCTGTAGAGTACTGTATTGTATAGTTTAAACTTTGCTAAGAGGGTACACCTTACTTAAGTGCTCTTACCACAAAATAAAACAAAAATAAAGGGGATGGAGGAAACTTCTGGGGATGAGATATGTTTATGGTCTCAGTTGTGAGTATGGTTTCATGAATGTATACTTATCTTTAATCTCTTCAAGGTATATACATTAAATGTGCACAGCTTTCTGTGTGTTAATCATAATTGAATAAAGTGGCTTCAAAAAAGAATTGCACTTCTTTGATTCAAAATTTTACTAAGGCACAGATTTTCCCTTGTAAGATGAATAAGGTCTGAGGATCTAATGGAAAACATGGTGACTATGGTTGATAACACTGTATTGTATAACTGAAATGTGCCAAGAGAGTAGAACTTAAGTGTTCTCACCACCCCCAAAAGAAGACAACTATGTGAGGTGAGGCATGTATGATTTAACTCAATGGGGAGAATCCTGTCACAGAGTATATGTATATCAAAGCTTCCCGTTTATTACATTATTTGCAATTTGAATACCTTATAATTATATTTGTGAATTATGCCTCAATAAAGTTGGAAAAAAATTTAAATGTAAGGAAAAAAACACACAAAATTTTACTGAATGATTTTAGTAGATGAATGGAATATTAGACATGGCAGATGAAAAATTAGCAAATTTGAGATATATAAACTTAAAAAACACACAAAGAAATTATAAGCCAGCTAAAATTGAAAGGAGCATCATTGAGATATGGACAAATTCAGGCAATCCAACAAGCATATAATTAGATTTCTGAAGCAGAAGTTTATATGTGGAAAGAGATGACAAAAAAAGATTTAAGGAAACAATGGCCAAAATTTTCCAAATTTTGTGAAAACAGAACCAAAAATCTCAGCAAAACCTAAGCACTAGAAATGTGAAGAAATCTACACAAAGATGCATAATAGATTGCTCAAAATCAATGATAAAGAGAAAATCTTTAAAACACCCAAAAGGAAAAATTACATGTTTCATACTGAAGAACAAAGATAAAGATAACATAAAATTCTCTTTGTGGAGAGGTAAACGAGAATACGGTAATACAAAGACTTCTAAAGGACTGTGAATAAAAACCTGCCAACCTAGAACTTGATACCTGTAAAACTGTCTTTCAAAAATGAAGGTATACTAAAGATAAAATAATTGATCACTAGCAGGCCTACAGAATAATAATTGGTAAAGTCAGTCCTTCCAAGAGAAAGAAAATTCTAGTAGATGGAAATATGCAGATCTATGCAAAAGAATGAAGAGCACTGGAAATAGAAACTACATGGTAGGTATATAGGATATTTATTTTAATTACTTAAATGTCTGAAAGATAATCGACTCTTTAAACAAAAATAGTAACAATGCACTTTAGGGTTCATAACATATGTAAAAGGAAAATACATGACAATAACATCACAAAAGCTGAGGGGGTAGAAACAGAAGTATACTATTATAAGTTTTTTAAATGTGAAGTGGTAAAACTATCACTTGGAGGTAGATAATGATAAGTTAAATATGTATACTATAAACACTAAAGCAACCACTGAAATAAAAATCAAAAGTTATAGCTAAGAAGCCAACAGAAGAGATAAAATGGCATTATCACAATGGGGCAATAGGAAACTTTTGGGTT